CGCTCCGTCAGACCATGTCCTCAGAAAATGTCTAAAATCTGCCCTGTGCCCCATTGACCTTTGACCTGTGACCTCCAATTTTGGCACAGTGATGGTTTTTCCTACCATGATGCTATACACCGACTATCACGAGCCTAGGTCGAGCCGTTTAGATTTGTGCCGCAATTCTGCATTTCCTCCCTATACCTTAAGTTAAGGAGTGAATGTTCCCCCTTCTTTTACACCTCTTGACCTTTGACCCCCAGCGTCGACATCCCAACTCGTTTTCGGATACCCCCCCCCCACGTCCCGAATATCGTAACCCTACGTCGAGCGGTTAAGATTTGTGCCCAACTGTTGACGGACGGACGCTCGCATGGACGGACGGACGATCATGCGATCACCGCCTCGCCGAGAGAGTAAGCTGTGGATAGTAGCTGCCTTTTGTTTCGAGTTAGGTCGAAAATACATTCGGATTGATGGCAACAGAATGGATAATCGTGTCATACGTTTTAGTCTGCATCTCCGGATTGCGTATGTATACGAGGAAACGATTTCGCACAATGCTAGGCGAATGTACTGTGTACGATTTGAGCTCGTTGGTTGAGTTACGCGTAGTAAATCGTAGGTATTCTAAGGCCAGTAAATGACGAATTTCCCTTGTTTATTGAAGTCACACTTGTTGTTGTTTGTGGTTTAATGTCATTTAGATTAGGAATTTAGGGTTAGGATTAGGATTATCAATCATTAATCATTAATGATATCAAAGTTGGGAACACTCCTAATGGAGCGTTAGCCAAGAAAAACCCCAGAGTGAAATGAACGCAAGTCCTTAGATAGTCTTTATACAACGGATGGTTTTATTCATTGTTTACGAATAACATGAATAAACGTTCACTGCACGCATCTCAAATATAGCGTAGAGATATATATATATATATTTACTCATGTCACGTTTACGTTACCTCGTTAGGTGATTACACGTTTAACTTAATATATAGTGTAGCTCGTGTAACAGGCACGTGTGATCTTATAGTCTGACCAGGTTCGTGTACAACAGATACGTGTGCAAATAGCACTTAAGCCACAGACAGTATAATTAATGCTATAACCACGTAATTACTACGGTAACTCTATTCTTTAATGAACAACATCATTCTAAACACATACAGTACATATGTGGCCACGCAAGCCAACAATCAATGACGCGTTACAAGTGTTTCATATCTTACGACTTCGCAGGCGGGTCCTCTTGTCAGTTGGCGGCGGCAACGGTAGCAGCGATCGGCAGGTGAGCTCAGTAGGTGCTAGCAGCGACGTGAACTGTCAGCACCGTGGAACTGTGACTGTCTTCTCGTCGAAACTGTTTGGTATTTATACAACTGGAGGAATGCATGGCCTGAGCGTGGTCAAGGCCTTGTTGACGATGGTGGTGCAAGACGTGTCCTTCTACAGAATTTTATGGACAACTGAAGGTGAGACTTCCTTCTCTAGCGTGAGAACGGCGGTCAGAGTCTTTGTAGATATGGTGGAGGAGTCGATGGGAGTTTCTCGAAGCCCTCGTCGAACAGCCTTCTATTGGTACTATAAAGTGTCATCGGCACGCTTTGTGCCATACCGCTGCTGCCACGTGCACGCAACGTGTTCGGCTCGCCAATGCTGTAGGTATGGCACAGATTTGACCCTGGTTGGGTTGTGCGACACCGGTGTTAGAGGTCCCGCTGTGTCACGCACGCCCGGCGTGCGCGGCTTGTCATAAGACTCGTAGCAGTCGTCACCTTGAGCGGGTCGTAATTTTTACTCGGGTTCTAGTGACTCAGTTTCTTGGGATGTTCGTGGTGCAACTTTCACCTGTTACCTTGACTGACATTTGTCAACTAAAATAACCATGACGTTATGCTACGTTAAGCGACCCGTGTCGCTCGCTGCTCATGTTACCTTGAACTAAAAATAACTATGACGTGATGTTGCTTTTAAGTTAAACAACCCATGTCGCTGGGTTTTTATACGAGGTTAATTTATTCGATATCTACGTCACTACACTACCCTCGCACTTTCAATAGTTCTATGGATAGCAACGTATAGAAACATATATTAAATAGATAAATCTTGATACCGCTGCGGCATTGAAATTTCACCATTACACAAAAAAACTTAATCGTTATACTAATACTAATCGAGAACAGTTGAACTATAATGCTACGCTATAAGCGCAACTAACGCGTAATTTAAAAAGAAAACATTCGTGCATCATATAACAGCAATCATACAAAATATCATGAAGCGTTACTCGAGAAACAGTGAATAAAATCAGAATCCATATTTTAACTAGTAAATACTATTGTCATCAGAATTCAACGCTATCCAGTAGATTACATAATGCTCTTCGTAATGCGCCAATACTACCGAGGTCTCGGCATGGTTAGGTTAGCAGATGTGGGCACAATTATCATATGGCATAGGCATCTCATCAGGGGATTCTCTTAGTGTAGAAAAGATACAAGGGATACAAGAGATAAAAGACTATGTTCAGACTCTTTGTAGGGTGTGTGTTTAATATCGTTTACAAACGAGCTCTCATGGCTCCATAGTGTACAAGCGAGCTCTCATGGCTCCATAGTGTACAAACGAGCTTTCATGGCTCCATAGTGTACAAGCGAGCTCTCATGGCTCTATAGTGTACAAGCGAGCTCTCATGGCTCCATAGTGTACAAGCGAGCTCTCATCGCTCCATAGTGTACAAACGAGCGTCAATGGCTCCATTATCATAATCATAAATCAGTATAACTATATTCAGTGTCTGACACAGCCTCTTTATCTAGAAACCTGTGTCTTATCTCCATCTATCTCATTAATCATATCTATCGTCTAAATTCAACAACCATTTTGCATGGTGCAGGTGTAGCACGCTTTGATGCCATACTGTAATAATGGTAATATTTGTCGCAGCAAGTGAGCATTACGTAAACTAGTTAATAGAAAATAAAGCATTGAACTTACATATGACTCATCATCAAAGTGTTGCTGCCGTAGTGCAGAACGCTGTGTGGTTGCAGAGCAAGGAAAATCTAGGAGTAAAATCACACGGTTAAGCGCTATACCATACTGTTTGGCAATCTGCTGTTTGTCACGGCGCCAATATAGGGAAGGTTGATATCAATCGTTTAATACGAGAACAGTCCCGGTTACAATCAAACATTGTGCGCTTAACAAACAGTGGCTAAGTAGAACATGCTATAAAGCTACATACGTTGCATAATTATACGATGCATAGACAAGCAGCACACAAATACGAAACGCGTACAATAGTTTACATATCGTTTATAAAGTGTAAGGTCCGTAGGCACATACGCGAATACGCATTACAAATTGCTACGCAGACCAATAATGCTTATGCAGGCTAACATACACCAAGCACATACCAACATAGCGACTGGTTTACAAATGCAGAGTACATATTTACGAGCGTGGAGTCATGCAGATCGCAGGCAGGTCCTGGCGGTGTCCGGCGGAAACGGTAGCAGCGAGCAGGTGAGATCAGCGGAACTTAGCTGGTGCTGACAGCGTCGGGAGCTGTCAGGCACCGTGGAACCGTGTCTGTCTTCTTGTCGAAACTGTTCGGTATTTGTACAACTGGAGGAATGCATGGCCTGAGCGTGGTCAAGGCCTTGTTGCCGATGGTGGTGCAAGACGTGTCCTTCTACAGAATTTTATGGACAACTGAAAGTGAGACTTCCTTCTCTAGCGTGAGAACGGCGGTCGGAGTCTTTGTAGATATGGTGGAGGCGTCGATGGGAGTTTCTCGAAGACCTCGTCGAACAGCCTTCTATTGGTACTAAAGTGTCATCTGCACGCTTTGTGCCATACCGCTGCTGCCACGTGCACGCAACGTGTTCGGCTCGCCAATGCTAAAGGTATGGCACAGATTTAATAGTGGCACAACTAAAATAACCATGACGTTATGCTACGTTAAGCGACCCGTGTCGCTCACTGCTCATGTTACCTTGAACTAAAAATAACTATGACGTGATGTTGCTTAAGTTAAACGACCCGTGTCGCTGGGTTTTTATACTAGGTTAATTTATTCGATATCTACGTCACTACATTAACTCTTAGCTATTCTACGGTTAATATTGTAGCCGTCTCTGTCTCTCCCCGTCGTGTGCTCCGCGGCTCGGCGCGAGTTCGTGGGTTAGCAGTGTGTCTCCCTGTTGTGTGCAGGCTATAGCTCCTCGCCCCTCCCTCAGTATAGGGGGTGATACCTTCTCGGGCGTCGTCCTGCTCGTGGGTGGCTCTCCCTCCGATGGTGTGTGTGCGCTCTCTCGAGCGTGATCGTTCGTTCGTTCGTTCACAAGCCAAAAACGTTCGTAGCAAAAAATCCTGTAGTGACCCTAGGGGTGGCCACACTGGACTTTCAGACGTGCTGTGGTTAGCACGTGTAATTTATTTGTGTCGGGATCATTTTCCGCTCCTACCAACCCCCCCCTGCCGATACGGTCGAGCTCTCCCTCCTCGTCGTCGGATGCCGTGTCGTAGTTGTGCGCGATCATGCCGATGCTGCTGCAGGCGCAGCTCGCCGGCACTAGCGCCTTCTGCTGCTCCAGCAGCTCAAGATTCGGCTCTTGCTCGCCGACCTCTGACCCCTCGTCGATGCGCAGCCTCTTCGGCGACACGTCGTCCGAATCCGGCGCCCCCTGGGGTGGTCATCGGCGAGCGCTCCCTCCTCGTCGTCGGATGCCGAGCCGTAGTCGTGCCGAGCAAGAGCTGGACCTTGAGCTGCTGGAGCAGCGGAAGGCGCTGCTGCAAGCGCTGCTCGCCGGCATGATCGCCTGACCTCTGACCCCTCGTCGATGTGCAGCCTCTTTGGCGACACGTCGTCCGAATCCGGCGCCCCCTGGGGGTGGTCATCGACGAGCATCACAACGTCGTGGTGCGCACGCGGTGGACAGTCGAGCTCTCCCTCCTCGTCTTCGGATGCCGAGCCGTAGTTGTGCGCGATCATGCCGATACTAGTGCCGGCAAGCTGCGCCTGCAGCAGCTCAAGGTTCGGCTCTTGCTCGCCGACCTCTAACCCCTCGTCGATGCGCAGCCTCTTCGGCGATACGTCGTCCGGCGACCGCTCGCTCTTGTGCCGCTTCTGCTTGTGCTTGTTGCGGTGTCTCCTGTCCGGTTTCTCTCTCTCAGACGTGCGGTGCCTGTGATGGCTTTTGTGCTTGTGCTTGTGCTCCTTAGCCTTTTTCTTGCTATGCCTGCCCTCATATTTGTCTTTGTCCGACTTGACGTAGTGAGCAGGCGCTGACATCGACTCACTTGATATGCTTGATATAGGAAGAAACACAAATCATTAGGCACTTTATACATGGTGGAAACCAAAATGTCAACTTTGTCGCAACAAAACCATTTAGTGTTTTTGTTCCTTTTTAATTATGATTAAACCAGGCTTTAATTAGAAATATTATAAATTTAATGGTAGGAATTTAAAGAGTGCACTTATCTGTATGGATATATGCCCACTCAGAGCCACTCATGGCATTGTTTAATGATTGTTACTAAGAAATAGCAAATGGAATATAATAATGCCCATGAACATTTTTATCAAATTTTTATCAAAATTCTTATCAAAATTCTAAGCGAGGGATTTGCTCCCGCTACCGCAGGCTCTACGGTTTAGTGAGTGCGCTAGTGGCACCCGTTTCTTATAGGGGTAGTAACAGGTTGCGCCGACAGTCCACGATAGATCACTCAGATAGAATAATATGAACACCGTATTATGCAAGCTACTCGTAGGTCATTCTCTTATCCGACAAAATACTACAATACGACAGAATATCATTATACGACAGAATATCAATATACGACAGAATATCAATATACGACAGAATATTACAATAGTGCGACAGAATATCAATATACGACAGAATATTACAATATACGACAGAATATCAATATACGACAGAATATTACA